TATCATGTAACCCAAGGCCAATCGCATCCTGGGCTGCATCAAAAGATGCGTTGCCAGCAGGTCCAGAGAGGTGATTCTTCCACTTTACTCTGCTCTGGTGAGACCTCACCTGGAGTATTGTGTGCAGGTCTGGAGCCCTCAATATAAGAAGGACATGGACCTGATGGAGAGGGTCCAGAGGAGGGCCACAAGGATGATCAGGGGGATGGAGCACCTCTGCTATGAGGACAGGCTGAGGGAGCTGGGGTTGTTCAGCCTGGAGAAGAGGAGGCTCCGGGGAGACCTAATCGCAGCCTTCCAGTACCTGAAGGGAGCCTACATGAAGGCTGGGGAGAACCTATTTAGAAAGGCCTGCAGTGACAGGACGAGGGGCAATGGCTTCAAGCTGGAGGGGAACAGATTTAGACTGGAGATGAGGAGAGGGTTCTTCACTGTGAGGGTGGTGGAGCACTGGAACAGGTTGCCCAGGGAAGTGGTTGAGGCCCCTTCCCTGGAGATATTCAAGGTGAGGCTTAGCGAGGCCCTGGGCAACCTGGTCTAGTTGGGGGTGTCCCTGCTGACTGCGGGGAGGTTGGACTAGATGACCTTTGGAGGTCCCTTCCGGCCTGGGCAATTCTATAAAAAAAAAACAAAAAAACAACCCAGCAAGGCCAGCGATGGGGAATGGGGCAGGCTCGTCGCTAGGCAGATTTCCTCCACGGCCATGATTTATCACCCTTCCTTCTGAGGCCCTGACCGGCCACCCTAGGGATGATGGTGCCACCCCTGAGCCAGTCAACGGGAGAGAAAGAGGCAGAGGGGTAAGGAATGGCCAGCAAAGGGGGGGCTACTCCGCACAGGGCCATGCAGGGTGCATGTCACTGGCGCTACAGGCCAAAACCACCCAATATTTATGGATTTGCAGCTTTTAGGTCGCGCTGTGGGGCCAGGGCGGGATTCTGGGGGCACTGGACCGCCCTGGGAGTTGACCCCCCCCTCCCCACGGAAGGCCCCAGCGCTCAGTCCGGGGGCTGGGGCTGAAGGGGGACAGATTTTGGCTTCTCGTCTCTTTCCCTGCCTGACGTCACTGATGAAGTTGGGTGACATCACAGGACGCGGGAAGTGGGGGGGGTTGGGGGAAGGGCGGGCGTCGGGGTCTCCATGGCAA